GACCACAAACTAAAAAAGGGTGACTGCATGTTAGCAGGTGAGCCGTGTTACATACCAGAGAAAAATAGTTTTAAAACACTCTAAATGACAAGTAAATAATCAGAGAAACAAGACTACAGCAAGACCTGGAAGAAAACCACTAAAATCCCAGACTTCAATCTTGTCCTCACAAAGACACAACCTGCCTCACTGACAACCAAATGCCCTGAAGGACAGTCCTGTCTGTGTGGGAGTAACGTCACGTGTGCGTAAGAACAGAATTTAGCTTTAAAAATACATGTGTTGTAATAAACTGGCACAGGTAAATGTGTACTTCAGAGATTAACATCTTGAGCTAGATTAGAAAGAATTATTTTCTCCTCCTATGGAGCACTGGAAGCCTTATTAGAGCTTGCCTTCCTGTGCAACATCTGGCAAGGACTGACACAAGCTACCTGACTAAAGGTAGTCTAGTGACACATCAAAAACATTTATCTCCGTGTCACTAAAAGCTGTGCTGAAAAACACTACCTTATATACACTTCCCATTCCATTCATCTCCCTAATGTATTTTAAATCACTTCAGGGATCACGAGGTGCCCTACTTGGAGAGCTTCAGACGCTGAAACACTCTTCCCACAGCCCAGTTACTCAACACTGCACAGAACGCTGCTCCCAAGGGTGGGGTTTGCAGCCTGCGCACCCATCGGAGCTGGCTGCAGGTGAGCGCCGCTGCTCCAGTCCCTCTGGCTGTGCCACGCACCTGCAGGCACGAGCTCCCAGGAAAAAAGAACAGCAGAAACACTGAAAAAGATTTGGGGAACTTCCTGCTAAGAAGGAAGATAAGTAAGCAGCAACACACCTCCAAGGCTTGAAGCAAATGGAATGGCTGGTGCCTGAAAGCTCACGAGCACTTTTGAGGGAGCAGCAACAACCTCCAGCCGACTCTCACATTACTCCTTGTAGCTCAAAGAAAGCACTGGTAGCCCTGCTGCAGCAGCCCAAGGGCAGACAGAGGTGGGCCCAGCTTGGACATGAGCTCCCCAGAAAAGAAAAGGGACTGGGACATCCTCCTCCCACAGACAGACACTAGCACACCTCACCAAAGGCACCGGAACCCGTCAGTAGGAGTTACTAGCAATACGTACACCCAGTGAAAATCTGTGAATACCTTTTGAAGCATGATCAGAAAAGCAAGTTCTTACTTAGTGTTTTTTTGGAAAACAGAAAAAGAGGGCTAAACCTACAAAGAAAATGGGTCTATTTACATGAAATCAATTTGGATCAAAGCTAGACGACTCTCAAAAGAGAAGGAAAAAGACAGAAAATGGCAAAACAAAACAGACAATCTGCTTGTTATTTGGTATTTGGAACAGACAGGGGAAAAGTAAAGTCATTTCACAGAAGTTCACTTTCATCTGCATGACTTTCTGCACAAGAAAAACAACACAGACAAGCCCAAGCCCTTACTGAATAGTAAGGAAATCCCAAAGACTTCATCAGATGAAACCATACAGAACCCAGAACCAGCAAACAAACATTCTTCACTTCATTCTTGGTTTCCTGTGCATTTGTTCATCCCTGAACTTCATTTTAGAGGGGTAATATCACAGCACGCACCACAGTCGAGAGGGCCACGATACACAGAGCATCAGCACACAGCACTAGAAGGCTTCACCCCACACAGAGTAACACACACCTCATCAGGCTTCGGGGTCTGCTCATGCACAGCAACATCATACCACTTCAGAAGGCTGCAGGCAGCTGCCCTTCTTGTTCTTCAGCCCAAACTTTTATACTCTTCATCTTACATGCACTGCACCTGCGTGCCCTCTGCTCCCCTGGGGGATTGCTCAGTGCCCCAGGCACTCCGTGCCTCCTTCCCTTCAATGCTGTTCACCTGCTGGGCACAGCTGCAGCCCCACTCCCACTGCCACAAACCGTGTGCCTACAGGGTAACACACCTTCCAGTGCCTTTCCTCATTGACAATCAGCAGCACAATCACCTTGTGCCAGAGCATAACCTATTGATACAAAACCAGCTGGGGACATTCTAGCAGATTAGACTCCAGCTGACTTAGAAAACACTAAGATCAAAGCTCTGAAGAGCACCTTAAGAAGACTTGAAAAAGAGAATATATGTAACTGTAACAAGCAAAAGCATTTTTGCTATACTGAAATAGATTCAAACTGCAAATGTTTATTACTTCTATTACTAAAATCAGAAAAACATGGAATTGGAATTATGTGAGGAACTGTCCATCAACTTGAAAGCAACACAGCTCCCTCTGCCAGAGCAGGGGACACAGCTTCCTTTTCCCCTCCAAATTCCAGCCAAAGCCCATGCCTCTGCACAAAGGCAATTTGGTTGAAATTTCCCTGTAACTATGCAGGGAAACTGAAGGGAACACACCTTCGCTGGCATTAGCTGGTGACCAGATCAGATTTAGAAAGACTGCTAAAGTAAGAATTTGGAAAACTCTCCAATAACATTTATGGCTGAGATGAAAAGGGGAAGAAAAGATAATTACTGCTTTGACTGGGCTAATTTCTAATAATTTCTAATTTCAAAACCACTTTAAGGAAGTTTCATTTAGTCTTGAAAGTCTTGACTCCTCCACATTATACACTGAAACTGTTCTCATCCAGCGTGGGAAGCAAAAAGCCCAAATTTGACATTTGACTTAAAAGGCTTGAGGGGAAGCAAGCCCTAGCCATGGAACACATTTCCAAGCCAAGAGGACACGTTTGCTCTTAACTCTGCTCACAGAGGAAGCTGTCCCAATGATTTACACTGGAATGGGTATTTCAGTAGGTCTGACACACAGAAGTGAGCTGCTACCTCCTCATGCAGCAGTTCAGATGGAGTAGAACAAAACTCAGATGAAAAAGCAGCACTTGATTATTAAACTCCATCCCCAACAGCAGCCAGGAGAAAGCATCACAGTTTGAGGCTTTTTCAGGTTCAGGTTTTTTTTGCACAACAAGTGCCACTCAAGTGCACCTCTCCACAATTAAAAAATTGCCTCAGAAGAATCTAAAGATTTCTCCAAGAAGCTTTATCTTCACAAACTACTTAGTAGATTTCCAAGTGCTAAAACCCAAACCAACCTCCACAAAAAACAGCCCAGCAAGTAAAAAACTGCAATAATTTTTGGGATAAAATAATTTTTTATCTCTGAAAGCAGAGATGAAAAGGCATTCCCTGCATTCACGGACAGGCACTATGCATGTTCTGATTTGCAAGGATATTCCACTGCTCAGCTTTGAAGTGTAACCTGTTCCCTCATGGGTTGAACCCACAGAAAAATCTGTATCAAATTTACCTCATTCCACTTTATGAGCAAAATTCTCCCAAATGTGCTTCCACTCCTCAACAGAGCACATCAAGGACCAACTTGGTCCTGCATGAACAAAGTACAAGAATTGCAGCTTGAAATACAGTGAAATCTGAAGGATGAGTAATTAGCAAGACAGTTTTTCCTCATTTAGCCTAGCATTCCAGGATTTACCCCATCACACACATAACCCATGGCATATTGGTAACCTGGCACATGTTCCCCACCTGTTCCCAGTAACCTGATGATGACCTTGTTATGGCTCCTCACATTGAAAATTACTCAGATCTATGAAATCACACCGAGCATGGCCTTTTATTTTAAGCATCAAAATTCAACAGATCTCAGTGTGCTAAATAATAATAAAAAACATCTGTTTAAAGCAAACTCATGAAAATGTTTACCTCAAGTATTGTAAATTGCTTAACCTACCTTCAAGCTTGTAACTGTACAAAAAAAAATTAAATTTAATTAACCTTTCAAAAATGAAGGAAAAATAATCTTGCAGTAAAAGTGAAAAGAGTTAAATTCAGCGAAAAGTAAGTTTTCACACAACTTTCACCAGTAACAATCCCCAAAAGATCTTTATCAGAGAGCAGCTTGTTATCAGAACTTGCCACACTGTCCTATGCAATGCCTCGTGTTTAAACTTACTGACTTCAGGCTGCCCTTTACCTGCAGTGATTCCCCTGGGCCAGCAGCAGACCAGCCACGAGCACGTTTAGGCTCTGGCAATGTTTACTTACTCACTGCCGTGTTCTTTACAAATTGCCATAAAAACACAGACCGCGATAAGGGAGAGCCGATCCCTAATCCCCGACTCCCGGACACAGGCACTCCAGCTGGGAATTAACGAGCAATTGACACGGCACCGCTAAGACTCCCTTTCCACAACAACAGCCCACACCGTGTGTATATTTACCTACAATGTATCATAACAACGCGGCCGCGGCTGCTGACGAGCTGCTGGAAACAGAGGCAAGGCAGAAACAAGCTGTGCAGCAGCCTTGAAACACTAACACTCCTCACCGCCTCAGCGCAGCGACTTTCTCCACAACGGCCAGCTCAAAAAACAGGGGTTTTTAATTCCTCATCGTAATTTCCTTCTCACAAAAAAGTTTAATCTGAGATAAAAGTACATTTTCCCTCATTTACTCATAGGCAGATAGGCCCTAATGTCCATGTTTAAATGCAATGGGAACACAGAATCCAGTGAAGCTGTAAATGCTTAAAATAAAAGCTGTAATGGAAACTTAGTATTGACCATCCTCCCAGAAAAAAAAAAAAAAAAAAAGAAGCCTGCAAAATGCTTCCGAAACAAATGATTTAAAAAAAAAAAAAAAAAAAAAAAAAAAAAAAACAAGCAAAATGCTTCCGAAACAAATTATTTATATTAAAATCTGAAGACACTGCATTATGTTAGACTTTAGTTTTTGAACCTATTTTCTTGAAATTATTTACAGCAACCCCTGACTTCTGTGCAGTCAATCCGGGAAATGTTTAACACAGAAGAAAAAAAATCAGACATCAAGGGAAAAAACTCAAACCCAGGAAATAATAATTAAAACAGTATTTAAAAATCTGTTAAAATACTCAGCTATTTTTATCATTTCCTAAAGCTTAGCACATGAACACAAGAAACAGGGAGGAGGCACCACAAACACCAGATTAAAATATACCCACCCCTAGCTGAAAGCTTTTTGGTGTTGATAATTTTGGCAGCGTACTCTTGTCCTGTGGTGATTTTCATACACCTCCTCACGACGGAGAACGCCCCTCTGGAAACCAAAACCGGGCAAAGTGTCAGTCCAACTGAAACACTCCACTGCCATTACCAGCTAACGGGCAGCACGGAGGGGTGTGATGTCGGCAGAAATTAAAAAAAAAAAAAAGGGGATTTTCTGGTTTTCTCTCAGGGACGGTCAGCATTGATTTTATTCAGCCGAACAGTGAACTCCGCGGGGTAGAAGCCGTGTGACCAATCCCGCCAGCTGAGGTGGATGGCGGGCGGGTTTCCACTGTGTCCATGCCGGCACACCGCGGGGGGACACAGGGCGGCGGTGGCCGTGTCCCCCTCAGCGGTGACACCGGGGGGGCGACACCCAACATGGCGCTCAGGGCTGCGCCTCCCGCCCCGCCGCTGGGGGGCGCCCGCCGCGCTCCGACACCCCTCACGACCCGAGACCCCCGCCCCGCGGCAACCCAAGAGCTAAAAATAACAATAAACAATAAATAGCAATAAATAGCGGCACGGGGGGGTTGCCGGCAGCTCCCCGCCACCCGCCCAGAGCCCCTGGCAGCCCCGGGGTCGTATGGCTGGAGCCCGGGCGCTCCCGCGGGGCTCTCGGCAGCAGTGAGGGCGCGGCTTCCCCCAGGGCTCACGCACCGACCCCCGCAGCCCCCGGTGCCTTCACTCCCCGTTCTGTCCTTACTTTCCGAGCTCCTCGAAGAGCTGGTACTCGTCGGTGAAGCGTGTGCAGGTGGTCGAGGCCATCATGAGGACGGGCGGCCGCCGGTGACTCCGGCGGCCGTGGACGGCGAGGCGGGGACGGCGGAGGGGCTGTGAGGCGAGGCGAGCTGAGGCGAGGCTCCGCGCCGGCTTCTTCTCCTCCTCTTCCCCGCCACCGCCTCCTCTGGTGACGGCGTTGCCTCCGCGCCCTCCTCCGGTCTTCCCTCTCCCCTCCCCTCACCCTTTAGGGAAGCAAACAAACAAATATTTAAATAAATAAGTAAATAAGTAAATAAATAAATAAATAAATACGTATCCTCCTCGCTCCCTCACGCCCGCCAGGGAAAGCTAGCGGCAAAAGGGAAAGCAAAACCGGGGCGGGGGGCGCGGCGCACCCTCCCCTCCCGCTCTCCCCGGCCTCAGCGCCTCAGCCCGTCCGCCGGTGCCGTGCCTCCCCCTAGCGACCCCGGCCCGCGCCTCCCTGCCGTCGGGGACGGCGCGACACCCATGGCAGACCCACACGGGCGGTCGGAGCACGGGAAGAACCTGCGCCCCGTCCCCCCGGGCGCGAACACCGACCTTTCCCCGGGCGCTGCCCCGGGACGGCGGCGGGAGGCGCCCTGAGGGAAGCGGATGCACCTGCGCGCGCCCCCCCCACCCCCGCCCCGCTCCTCAGTGGCCGCCTGTGACGTCACGCCTCGCCCGAGCGCGAGGGAGGGCGCGCGGTGGCGGTGCGAGCGCGGGAAGCGCGTGCGGGCGCGCTCGCGGGCAAGGGGCCGTGACGGCGCAGGAGCCCCCGGCGCGTGCGGGGAGCGGGGGGGGGCACAAACGCACCGCGCGTGCGCCGGGTCGCGACCGTCACGGCGACCGCGGGGCAGCTGCGCCCGGCCGGGAAGGGACCCCGCGGGAGGCACCGCGCACACACAGACCCGCACACACAGCTCCACACAGTCAGCTCCGCACACACAGCTCCAGTCAGCACCGCACACACAGCCCCGCACACACAGCTCCACAGCCAGCACCGCACACACAGCTCCACACCCAGCACCGCACACACAGCTCCACACAGTCAGCTCCACAGCCAGCACCGCACACACAGCTCCACAGTCAGCCCCGCACACACAGCCCCGCACACACAGCCCTGCACACACAGCCCTGCACACACGCAGCCCCGCACACACAGCCCTTGCACCGCCGCGACACGGAACAGCCCCGGCATCTCAGGCCGGCGTTCACCCCTCGCAGAGCGCCGGGAAGGGCAGGGGACACGTGTGAGGTGTCACAGCAAACAGCAGTCTCGGTCTCTTCCACAGAACCACCCAGTATCTTGAGCTGGAAGGGACCCACAAGGATTATCAAAGGCCCAGCTCCTGGCCCTGCACAGGACCTCCCCAAATCCCACCGTGTGCCTCAGAGCCTTGTCCAAATGCTCCTTGAGCTGTGGCAGCCTTGGGGCCGTGAGCACTTGAACGTGGAACGGGGCTCGCCAGGCCACCCGGAGGGCATCTGATCCTTTTTGATAAACCTGAATTGCTTTTGTTCCTTTCTGACCAACTGAGTGTGGTGAGCTGGATGCACACCTGCACAGAGCACAAGCAGCAGCCTGGTTACAAGCAGAGCTCCGCTACAAAAGGCAGCCTGGAGCATCTCCACCCTCATTTTAAGCGAGAAGACAGACACAACACACCCACAAAGGGCTTGACATTAAACCTCTCGAGTTTCCACAATCAGCATCCAGAGCTGTGGTCTCGTATGAAGAGTTAAAACCCGCCAAGCCTTCCCAAAAGGAACGTGAATGCAGGACAGGAATGCCAGAGCCTACACAGGAAGGCAGTTTCCCTCCAGGTGAGGCAGCTGTGCCTTGCACAAACACGCTGAATTCGTGTCATGAAGGCGGCAGCAAAGGGACTTTGGAACTCACGAGCCAGCACAAAGCGTTTACTCCAGCAGTTCTCCGCAGGGAAACACTCCGTGCGGCAGCGCCGGCACAGAGAGGCTGGAGGAGGTTTCCATTCCCACCGGCAAGAGTGGATGTGCTCCCACCTCCCGAAGGGAACGCGCGCTGCGAGCGCATTTCCAAATGCCTCACACAAACAAGTCACACCGAGCCGTGCATCCCTGGGTGTGACACCTGCACTGCCCCCAGCAGTGCTGAGCCCCTGCGTGGGCTGGTCTTTGCATTCAGGGGGAGATGCCTGCCAGGCTCCTCATCCAGATGGACACAGACACGAGAAAATGAAACATATTCCCCTGGCACTACATCACTTTTTCCCTCATGGTATATTCTGGGAACAAGCATTAGGACAAAGTATCTGCTACTGCTGTGCCATACAGTTATTATTTAATTTTAAAAGTATTCAGAGGAAAATATTAAATTCAATTTCAATTCGCTTTCTTGTTGATGTTTTTTTTTTGGTTTTTTAAAGTCATTATAAGAATGAGTGATCCAAACTGAGATTTTTCTTTTAAAAATCCTTTTTTTTCCTGTTTCACATTTCCCAATCTGAAAAAAGACAAGAAGGGGCCAAGGAGTTCGTAGAGAAATTTCAAGCATGAATTTTATCACAGGAGGTAAGTAAAGAAAGTATTTGTTTACAAGATTGATATCACAGGACTAGATGAATTTCTGCAAGAGAAACCCTAGGGAACTGATGAGTAGCTTGGAAACACTTGAACTGAGAGGGTTTTTTCCCCTTACAACAATCATGTCTTAATTGTAGTTCCCTCTTGAGCTGAAGAAAACCTTAATTTGTACTGCCATTTAAACATTTGGTACATTCCCCAAATTCCCCCTGAGCAGACCAAAGCAGGCAGGATGGCAGCCAAGGAGCCGTCCATGAGGAGAAATTCTAAATGCTGGGTAGAGCTTCAGAGTTCCATTAAGGCCACAGAAACAATTTATCTGCTGTTGAAGAACATCAGATCTCTACAATGAACCAAAAAAAAATGCTTCAAAGCCATCCCAGGGCACATTTTTCCTCTCCAAAAGGTTTTCAAGAGAGCAGTTCAAGCCGGCAAGAAACTGAAGTCGTTCACTTCAAATTCCTGAAGTTTAACAAAATGCTACAGATAAGTGGAATGAATTATATATTCAACTTTATACTGAAACATTTATTGTGGCAAAGGAAATGGTATTTATTTTAAGAGTTTGCTATTCAGTGAGGTCTTTGCTTTGTATGGCTTTAGACAGCTGAAGTGAGGTTTTCATTTTATTTCTGAAATAATACAGATTTTCCATTTTCTTATGTTTTGCAGGAGTCAAGAGAGCTTCCAAGAGGTCATTTGTGTGTACTGCTGATTATGAGGGCTCCTAGGAATAATGGATGTTTCATTTGTGAACAAGTGCAACAGCCTCTTACAGCAGAGTCCTTGGCAGGAAATGCTCAGAACACCTGAGGAATCTGGGGTTTAGATAAATACTCACTTTATGAGCAGATGGTCTTCAAGAGAAATCTTGGTCCTCCCCAGGGCTGCACATCTTCCTGGGGAAAAGCACTTGGGGAAACCAATGGACAACACTGGAGCAGTCAGAGGGGCATCACTGCAGTAAAGCAATGGCAAGACCAAAAATGTCTGTGGAAACCAGGAAATACGTAAGAACAGGGTAAAAAAAGAGGATCAACCAGGAGAAATCACACAGAAAATCCATGGGTTTGCAGTTCACTGCAACAGCTGGAACTGGAAGCACAGATTTACATCAGTGTGGAATTCTCTGCTGTACCACATGTTGCACCTCTCTTATTTTCTCACTGGAGCTGCTGGACTTTGATAAATGAAGCTTCTGGAGGGCAGAAGGATGGGTGACATCGTGCCAGAGACTCACTCCCTCCTTTCCAGTGATGAGGGTGGCCTAAAGCCTGTCCCAAGGCCTTCTGCTGGAGCAGCTCCCTCACCACCACCTCCCCAGCAGTGCTGACTCCAGAAGCTGCTGCCAGTCCCAGGCTTGCCTGGCCTCTGGTGGCCTGTGGAGATCCATGGTGGAGCTGCTGCACCTGCCCCAGGGCTTGCTGCCTCCCCCTGGAGAAGCTCTCTCACTGCTGCTGTCCCACCTTGTGTGCATCAGCTCCTTGAAGGTTCCCCAAAGGAAAGGAATTATTTATCCATGAGTGACAGTCCTGGCAAGCACCTTGCTGCCCGAGTAGGGCAGTGTGTGTGCTCTCTCTGCTGCTGGAGCACTCCTAGGTGGGATTAATTTACTCCCCAGTGAACCAGAAAGATGTTGGCAGAATAACTGATTTGATAGCTCAGTGATTCTGTCACGCTCTTGCTATGCAGGAGACCAAAGGTTCTCTCTGGCCTAAAAAAGCATCACTCCTGACAGGCTGGGAGGCATTGCTGGCCACTTAACTCCTGCCTCTGGAAGCACCAGAGGGAGAAAGAAATGAAAAATTAATGCCTTATTTTTTCTCTTTCTGTGCGGGGCAAGGACAAAATACAGGCTTGAGCAAATTTTGATTTGTGGAAAGAAAAGGAATGCTCTGATAGGATTCAAGTTTCATCTCAGAATTTTAAAGAATACATTTTTCTACTCTCTCTTTTTTTTTAGCTTGAAGTCTTCTTAATTAAGAACGCACCTTTAAAATAATGCTTTTGAAGAGAGTGATTTCTTTTTAATGCACTTGTCCTGGTTATTTTGAGCTGAGTAATTTTAAATGAATTCTTAGCAAACAAAATATTCCATTGTTTACACAGTTCTTTTTACAAGCAATTAGAGTCAGCAACACTCCATGAATAAGACCTTTTGCCACTGGCTTTCATGACATGGACTTGAAATATAAACATTACTAAAAAAAAATATTTCAAGCTGTGAATTAAATGTTTCCTGGGGCCTGGAGTAACCTGGTCTCTGGAAGGCGTCCCTGCCCATGGCAGGAGTTTGGAATGAGATGAGCTTTGAGATCTTCTCCAACCCAAACCATTCTGTGATTCCATGATTCTATGATTTCTGGAAGTTTGAGCACCAGTCTTGAACCCTGTGTGATTGGATGACTCAGAAATGATAAATGCTTCTCCTTCCAGAGTTCCTAGGGGTTTGTTACTTTTGGTTCAGTGGTGACAGACTCTGGGAAGTATGTGCATTTCTCTGGCCTGGCAGGACCCATTTTAATATTACCTTGCCCCATAAACCCAAGAGAAAGATCTGCATGTGGAAAAGCTGGCTGTGACAGCCTCAATATCATCAAGGTGAGCAACTAAGTGTGATCTTGGCTGACAAACTCCATAGAGGCTGCCAGGGCTGCAAGGGAAGCAGGAAACACAGGAGCCCACACTGGCATGCCAGCACTGAAATTATGCCCAGTCTTCCTTCTGAATGCTTTTGGTGAGTGCTTTGTAAACATTTCCAGGCATTTCCTAAAGAAAAAATGGGAGAGGTGACTCCAAGTAATTTGACCTACCACATGTTTTAGATTCAGAGCATCCTTTCAATGAAGGAAGCTGAAGAAGGAAATTAATAAGAACACCCCCTGCTTCCCATCCACAGGCACTCCCAGCACTGTAGAGGAAAAGGCTTTCCAAGAGGTGGGAGCAGCAACAGAGTTAACTAGAACTGATAAAGAGGGAGGCTGGAATTTTATAGGGGAAATAAGTCACTGTTGAGATTTTAGAAGTAGGGGAACATGGTCAGGGGGGTGAGTAAAGGGAAATATGTTAATGACAAAAGTTTGGACAGAGTGAACTGCAGACAAAAGATTTGGTCACAAAAGGGGAAGATCTTAAAGAAACCAGTGCATATGAGACACTGCTGACTACAAAGAAGCTGAGTTTTAAAAAAACCACAATTATGAGACTGTGGAG